CAGAGAAGCAACATTCTGTTCTGCAAAATGAAATACTAAACTATGAACAGACCTGGCAGGTTAAATAAGACAGTTGAGAACATTATGCATTTAACAGCCCATACAGCTGTTTCTAGAAACATGTACTTTAAAATAACTTTAAAATAATAAAATGATGCAAAATAAACTCACGGAATTCAACCAATTTCCCTTATCTTCCTCAAACCATTAATCACTTTCCTCCTCTTATACTGACTTAACAACATCGCATATTCCCTCTACACCTTCCTAAATCCCGTATTCAACACTGAATGCAATCTTGTGAGCTCGTCACTCCCACAATCCTCAGTACCTTATACTCTTATCAGTAGAAATGCAGGCAAGCGGGGAGGAGAGGGGGGGAGAAAGTTAGACAGTGCAAAAAAAAGGGAGTGAAGCTGCAGGCATGAAGATTAACCATGTGAGTGCTGGAAAGTAACAAGACAGAAGGACAGAGACTTATACGTTTGGAAACCAGAAATCTTTGACGGGAGAAACGGACTGGAGGTGCAGGGAGCTGCAGAGAGAGGATGAGGGTGACGAGATCTGTAGGACTGATGGGGGGGGGGGAGAGAATAGGGATCCATCAGCATCCAGTGACACAATTATTATAATACACAAACAATCTTAAACCTTTATGATTTATCTCTTCCTCTACCCAACCCTCCTGCTGGATAGCCTTTGCTACTCTGTACCATGCTTCAGCAGTACGTAATAAATCATTATCTGTAAGCTTGCCTTTCTTCTCTGTCAGTAATCTACGCCAGCTTTCTGGCTGTAATCTACCACATGAAGGCACAGCAATTTTACACACTTTAGCAATCTTTGCAACATTTTTAACCAGTTCTTCACCTTCTCTATCTTCAACTAAATCACACGCGAGCCAGCCCCTAGCGGGCTTACTCGTTTCCTGTCCCATATCCCCCTATACAAAGCGTCCCAAGTATAGGTAAAGGAAAATGAAACAGAACGTCTACAATGCTCGACTGCCACTAGGAAGGGTGGGTCCCTCCCAGTGCATCTTCCCAAAACGTAGACCAGTCACTGAATCCGTGTACCCTCGATGGTAACCACGGATTGGAGCGGGGTGAGAAGTGTGTGACCAATCACTTCTCTTTCAAGAGAAATAGGAGTGGATAGTGTAAATAGTACAGGAAGTAAAGTAAAAGTAAACAGTGAAAGTAGAGACAGACCCAGGAGTTTGAATGACTCCACACTTAAGACAACATTTAATACAACATTTCAATTGAAATACAGTGCATGCATCAACAGTAATCCCTTTCCTTTACTCTTGTGGCCACCAAGGCCACCTCCCTCAATCTCGTAGTGTCCCCGCTCGGAGAACAACTTTCGTAAGTTTCACTACCAGCGGCCAAGGATAACGACTAACACCGGCCCGAAATCCATATGCCTCCCTCGTTACAGCAGTCCACTAAGTGTGGCCACCTCTATCCTCACTCCCGTAGTGCTCCCTATGGACCCACCCACAAGTCACACTACCCCGTGGTGATGGAGACAACAATGCCTGCCCGAATCCACACACCACAAATAAATTGGAATGCCACCAGCCTCAGCGCTCGAAGCTGGAGGGTACCATAACCTCTGCAAGCAGAGCAACGTACACAATGAGGCTAGCTAGAATATCAAAGTGACGTAACCGGGAAACCCCAGGAGGCAAGTCCCCTCCACAGATCCCCCAACCCTTCTTTTTCCTTACTACTGTTAGCTAGACAGTACCTAAAAGAAGTAAACAGGAAAACAGGACCCCTTTGGAAAATCCCCACAGGTCCACCCCCCCTTTTTTCCCAACAGTCTGGGCCAAGTGACTCCTAAAAAGGGGTAAAAACAGGCAACAGAAGACCCCCAGGCAACCACCCACGGGTCCACCCCCCTTTATCCCTAAAGAGGGAAAGAACAAAACATATACCACTAGCACACCCAGGCAACAGATAGACTAAATGCAGGTAAACAAATGGGTAACAAGACACCGGGCAAGATATTACCTGTCTTTGATGCCCTCCCGGGAAGCAGTCACAGACACGTGGACGGGTCAATCAAAGGGGCTGGAACATACCGGTGGCTCCTGCAGAAGTCTCTACCGTGTACTCAGAGGTGATCAGTCTCTCTTCCTTCCCCCCTGATTCCTCCGTCCAACAGCGTCTTCCTTAGGACGGCTTACCGGCCGGAGGCCATAGCCCGATGCCCCACGTTGGATGGACGCCAGATTGATGTAGATTAATTTAGAAATAAACAAAAATGTTTAAAAGTCTATCTGTTCCTGTCCAAATCTGAGATGAATAAATTGCGTATACGCAGAAGTAAGTTCACACTGACACATGCAGTTCAGGTTAAAAACACTTCAGGAAATTTATTAGCATCTAGTTAAAAAGCGGGCACGCAGGCCTTTTTATATGCAAAATGACATCATCATTGAATATCAGATAATAACAAATAAACATCATTAATTGGGTTAAATGTTAAGTGGCTATGTCAGTGTCCACCCATTAATATTATTAATTGGCTCAGAGATTTGAGTGACTAGTGAGGCACCCTCCCATCATGGGATGTCGTCGCCATTGCTCTTTAGCACGAGGCTTACTCGGTGGAAAGGGGGGCTTGGGCGTCATTTTACGTAGTTAGTGATGTCAGTCTCGTGGTCTGTTCCAAGGTTCTTTTATGAATAGAACATTTCATTTTGTCGCTGTTCTCCTGGCCTTGGATTATACTATGTTGCAAGTCAACGGAGATCCGCTAACTCCGGGGCTAGTTATGTCCTTAGAGAGAGAAAATACAATCTCTTATTCATTATATTGAATACTGTCATGTAAGGTGAACAAAATGGAGAGTTCTGTCACAGTGTGAGATTAAAATGGAGTTAGTACAATAATTCAATACAGGTTCAGTAAAGATTTTAATAATTCTACATCACTCCCAGAAAATGAAATACCTAGGAATCTGGATTACAAATAATCCAGGAGATCTCTACTCGCAGAACTTTGTCCCACTACTGAGAACGATAATGGAGGACCTAAAAAGATGGGCCTACCCACATATATCCTGGCATGGACGAATAGCAGTTTTAAAAATGAACATCCTGCCTAGGCTTTTATACCCGTTTCAAACGCTACCACTGGCCATACCTGTGCCCTTCTTCTCCGCGCTGAAGTCGGCGGTAATTCGCTATGTCTGGAGAGGGGAGAAGTCGAGGCTTCGACATGACATACTCTGTCTACCAAGATACCGAGGGGGACTAGCATTGCCCGATTTCAAACGCTATCACCAAGCCACTGTCCTGCAGCGCATTCTGGAGTGGCACACGCACACAACACACAAACAATGGGTAGCCCTGACTAAAGAGAGACGGGGGGCCCACATACAAGCGGCCATATGGACAGGGGGGGCAAGGACTGTGAACGGTGGAGAAGAGGGGGACCTGATTGCACAAACCATAGCAAGCTGGAAACGCGTGAGGGAACAACCGCATATCTCACCCATACCTAGCCCAATGATCTCTATCACTGATAACGAAGCGATTGGGGGAAGCATACCGACAGAGGCATGGCCCTTCGCGGAAGATAGGGAACATGTCCCCATTTCCACAATTCTACAGGATGGCACACTGAGGACCATAGAATCGTTGCTGGGAGACAGGCCCCGCTCACCACTGATAGTGCTGCGATACCTACAGGTAAAGCATTACTATGAGACAATGCGCAATAACCACCGCATTCACAGAGACCTTACATGGTTTGAAGCGACCTGCGAAAAGGGCTTACCTCTGGAAAAGGCGATATCCACTCTCTACCAACACCTCCTGGTGGGACACCTAACAGAGAATACTACGTTTCACAGGCATTGGGAGATGATGTTGGATACCTCCTTCACGCCACAAGAATGGGACAAGGCACTGATATGGCAACACAAGAGCTCCACCAGCTCACGATACCAGGAAATAAACTACAAACTGATCGCGCTATGGTATAGGACCCCAACGCTACTAAACAAGATCTTCCCAACAATACCCCCAACATGCTGGAGATGCGGGGAGGAGAGGGGCACGACCATACACATATGGTGGGAATGCACTGTGATTGCCCCATACTGGGAGATGATCCGACAGAAGATATCAGAAATTCTGGGGGGGACACCGGAATGGTCGGCTGCACTGACGCTCCTACACATCACGGAGATGTCGATAGCGACCTATAAAAAGTCGATCATGCGTCATCTACTCAACGCGGCGAAAGCTCTGATCCCGGCATACTGGAAGAAAACTGAGATACCTCGGGAAGAGGAATGGATCCACAGGGTAGAGGACATTCAGGGTGCGGAGGCGATGCAAGCCTCCTTGCTCGGTAGAGGGGACAAACATGCAGAGAGATGGCAGCCATGGTTTGTATTTATATCCCGCAACCGTTAGGAGGGTGGACGAGACGGGGGGGGGGGACACCTGCGGGGGAGCATAACCTAAGGGACGTTAACGGAATGCGTTCCCTATCCCACTATGGCTACCCAGGGACAGGGACCATGAGATCACTGTGTGCATTGGAACTTGGATGGAACTGGAAACCTACCGCCTCTACTCTCTCTCCCCTTCTAACTACGCTAAAGTTCATTGCTAGGTAATTGCACACTTACATGCACACCAAGACTACAAACATACAAGAGGTTGAGTGAGACACAGACCCTAGAAGAGATCATACTAGACATAATGGAGAGGAATATATGACAACCTCCCAATCTCGAAAGCTACCAACCCAATCCCAGCCCTGGAGATAAACATGAACACTAGGGGGACTGAATAATATGAAAGGAGAGGGCCACACGTCCCAGGCCTCACCCATATACTTAGAATTGCTAGTGAGGCTGGCGAACAGCCCAGAGGTTATTGGAGGAGGTCCATTATTAAACCGACTGACATACACAACCTGACTGAGGACCCACATCCACGAACCACCAAGTCAAGGACAGGACACGGGGGACCAAGGGTTGGACTACACTAGATGGACACGAGAATACTGAAAGACAACCAAAGCTATATAAGTAGAGGACAGAGGGGAGGGGGAGACGGATACCCCCGATTACGCCAAGCCCAACAACTTATCACTCACTGAATGCTAATAACGCGTATCCAGACAAGACATAAAAACGCCAAGAATAACGATTGATGTAATGCGTTATGTTTCACCCGAAACAGATCAAAATGCTTTCAAACACAATTCGGGCCTGCGAGCCCGAGACACAATTTATGTCTGTAGTGATTTGTATAACCTATTACCAATTCTGAAAAATAAAAAAGATTTAAAAAAAAAAAAAAAAAAAATTTATTTGGTAAAACTGGTCTGAGTTTACCCCCTGTTACTGTCCTGATAGGGAGTAATTATGAAAAACAATGCATTGCAAAACCTGGGCACTTTGGTGTCTGGGACATAGCTGACTTAGCACACAATAATGTAATTACCTACCAGACACCTGGGTGCCTAACAATAATAACCATGAAAATACATGTTCCCCTATAGCTCTGATGTGGAGGAGGTGACTAGAGTCCGGTGCCAGTTGTTAAAATCCATCAGAGTGGTCTGTAACAATCTCTAGGTAGGTGGTATGTGTAAAAGTAACATCCAAATAAATTCCAGGACCCAGGGTTTTCCATCAGAACATTAACCAGAGCATAGCAATCCCTACGTAGACCTGCCTTCGTCCCACAGTGCGTTCTGCTGCCATCTCTTCCTCAGGTCCACAACGCACATGCACCCGGCCATCCACCTGATCTAAAAGAAAATGTGATTTATCAGACCAGGAAACTCCGTTGAGCACCCCTGATCCTTACCACCCTGTTGCAACAATACTAACTGATGCACTGGAGGGGTGTTACCTCTATTCCACCCCTGGAGTGAATCAGCGGGGATGAAATGGGTATCAGTCTCAGGCTTAGTGGTACCTTGTAGGGATTGTTTGTTAATCACTCCCTGGAGGGTGAATACACATTTGAAACAGTGTAAATCAAGTATCGACTGTTGTTTGGTGCTACTGCTACAATCACTTAGGACGTCTGAGTTGAGTAAGGGACACTAACTAATGAAAATGCTCAGATCGAGTACGAGAGTACCTTTACAATGATTACTTCAAGCACCATTGATCTGAAGTAGTCATGGTGCCTGGAGTCTGTATGTGCAGGATTTTGTTTTAAAATGCTGCGCAAACAGATATTACCCCTTTAGCTACTAGAGGTATAGCTCCATCTACAGCAGCTTTATTACCCAGCCCAGAACAAAATTCCAGACCGGCTAATCTCAATTATGTGCAAAATTGGTATCTGACTAAGCGTGCTGGCGCCAGTCAATGGCAGCATGGCCACCCTGTCTGTGCCACCTCCGTCCACCACTCAGACTGTCTTCGCTGACCCCCCATCGTCAGCCAAGAAAAATCAGTCTGAGGGGAGAACTTGGACTCAGTGATGGAACACAGGTAAGTTTTAGCCCCCAACTGTGACATGGCAGATGGGGGTATAAGGGAGGTTTTAAACCTTCCTTATTCTAATATAAGGATATATTGACCCCTATAGCCGTATTTATTTATTACTTTTTTTTTTTAATTTCGGCAGGTGGCTAGCCAACATCAGCCATCCACCACATGGTTAACACTGGCAAGTGAGCAATAATTCAAAATTTGCATCTTGCTAGATGCATTTGGTCTCTAATTATGGTACTTTGTACATATTTAAAATTCCATACTTTATATAGGATTTGGTTGCGAAATGCACTGACAGACACCGAATAGATCCAGCCGGCTGATGCAAGTTCAGTCAGGCTGACCGAATTCTGACCGGAATTAGCTTTAATAAATATGAGAATTGCTCCAAATATTGGTTAGTAAAGTACGACAATTTACATCCTCTGAATTAAGCGTACCACCTGTGAATAGCTTCATATTAGCTCTCAATGGAATAAAAAGCCCCTGAATTTTCCTGAAATATATCAAATGAGCATTTTTATTTAGGGTCCCCACCTGCCGCTCAGGGGGTACTGGGGGGGAGGACAATAGGTCTCCCCCCCCTATTTTACTTTAGGGTCCCCACCCGCCGCTCAGGGGTGGGGGCCGGGGGGAGGACAATAGGTCCGCCCTCCTTATTCTTCTTTAGGGCTCCCACCTGCCGCTCAGGGGTGAGGGCTGAGGGGGAGGACAATAGGTCCCCCCCATTTTTCTGATTTATGGCCCCCACCCACCGTTCAGGGGTGGGGGCCAAGGGGGGAAATAGGTCCACCCTTCAGTTTAAAAGCCCCCACTCGCGCAGCACAGGTGGGGGCTCAGGAGGGGGGACACAGGGTTTTTTTATAGTTTTTTTTTAACAGTGAGCAGCCTGTAATAGACATGCCCCTACTCGCGGTGAAAGCAAGGGAAGAAAGAATAAGACGGAGGAAAGAGAAAAAAAGGAAAGAAGGGGTAAAGAAGAAGAAGAGGGGGAGGTGCGGGGCACACTACCCTGTCTCTACCAACCTTCGAGGGTAAAACATTTTTTAAGAGCACAGATTGCAATACAGCTATACACAAAACCAGTTTACACCATGGTTCGTGGCTCACAAATATCCCCATAGGACAAATGATGCGCCTGAAACGAAACTGATGCGCCTGAAACGAAACTTGGTATTGCAAGTAGGGGCAGAATTTACTGATTCTAAGTAATTTTTACTTAGTATTAGTAAATTTGGCTGAAAGACCAATTTAGGTCTTTCAGCCTTTTGGTAGATAACTCCCTAATGCCATGAGAATTAGGGAGTTATCTACTTACTCATTCCCATCCATTAACTGTAATGGAAGTAACTTACATTTTATATGAATGTGTTATTTGATTGTTGTAAGTGTTGCAAATGCTTACAGCTGAATCCTGGCTATGTTTGTATACTTTTTATTTAAACTGGTATACAGTATAACATTCATTCTTCCACTGGGTGTATTAGTACTTCGGCAATTCTGTGCTTCGGAAGTTCTGCACTTTGGAACTTTGACATTTTGGCAATTCAGTTATTCGGACATTCGGAAGTATCCGAATGTCCGAATTACCCGAAATTTGTCTGAATTTACATTCGGAACTAAATGAATTGCACATGTCTACTGTAAGGTTAATATCAATGTTGAGATCCTGTTTGAGGGTCCCAAGATTGTAAATCCATTGTGCTTCTTTTTTTATTTAATTCCATAGATTTACTCTTTCCTCTCCAATATTTTTCCACTCTATCAATCCCAGTAGCCATAAAAGTATCCCACGTGAAATGTGGGCATGAGTTGCAGTGTTTAGGAACACTGTGCTTTGGTTTTTTTTGTTGTTCTGATGTTGTAGAACTGTTCTGCTAACCTTGTATGAAGTTTTCGTGTGGTACGACCTATGTACTCCCACCTCTGATGCTCGCCTTAAAGATTTCTCGAGGGCTGCACTGTTCCTGTGGAACTCTTTTCCCTCCTCCGTTAAATGCTCACCCAGTCTCCACTCCTTCAAAAAATCATTAAAAACCCACTTCTTCATAAAAGCGTATCAATTAAACTGTTAATAGCTCCTGACTGATTCCTCTTTTGCAACTGTCACTGGTCTAATACTATCCTTACCTTTTTGTGTCATTTTACCCCACTCCCTCTAGCATGTAAGCTCATTGAGCATGGCCCTCAACCCCTCTGTTCCTGTGTGTCCAACTTGTCTGGTTACAACTACGTCTGTTCATCCACCCATTGTAAAGCGCTGCGGAATTTGATGACGCTATATAAATATCATAATAATAATGTACTGTGCTCCACTCCTGCATTGAAGTAAATATATGACAATAGTCGTGTAACATTGAAAAAACTTTTTTAATGTCATAATTTTTGTTGGTATATGTACCTTCAAAGCCATGTGTAGTTTCTTTCTAAAATTTACAAGTTGAACAGTTCCCACAACTATAAAATCCTAATAAATAAAAAATTGGGATTTAGGTTTATTGTCACATAATAAGCTAGGCACTAATTGATTTTTTAGATTGTCTGCTTTTTTATAGATAGCTGTTGGTCGTTCCGGGATGACTTTTCCCAATATGTCGTCTTTCCTTAATATATGCCAATGGTTTTTTTAGGCCTGAGAATTAAATTTGCTAATGAAAGCGTATTCAAACTTTTTGTTATCCCTACCATTTTGTTTTGTATCACGACTGGTTAATAAAGATTGTCTTTCTAAAAGTCTAACTCGATCTTCATGCCTGTTCATTTTAATCAGATCATATTTGTTCCTCAAAAACCTTTGGGTCCGAGCAGTTTCGTTTCAGGCGCATCATTTGTCCTATGGGGATATTTGTGAGCCACGAACCATGGTGTAAACTGGTTTTGTGTATAGCTGTATTGCAATCTGTGCTCTTAAAAAATGTTTTACCCTCGAAGGTTGGTAGAGACAGGGTAGTGTGCCCCGCACCTCCCCCTCTTCTTCTTCTTTACCCCTTCTTTCCTTTTTTTCTCTTTCCTCCGTCTTATTCTTTCTTCCCTTGCTTTTCAAGGGAATAGGCTACAGTCAGGCCTGATAAGCTTAATTAAAGAACGCTGAAACTAATGGGTTACTGAATGCTACGTTGGTTCCAGGGTTTTATGTGTAGCTTGGTGCCTGACCCAAAATCAAAAAAATCCCCGGCGGACAGTAAGGTTTAATAACCCACTAAAAGAGAGTGGGTTTTTTCCGATTGTATGTTACTGGATAATGTTATTGTGTGTGATTTGTAATGATGGCTTTTGCACAAGCCCAACTGTTACTGGCATCTGGCATCTTGCTGTACCAGCCATGTGAAAAAAATAAAGAATAAAAAAAAATTACAAAAAATAAAATGTTTTACTTCTAAGTTGTTCTTCCTCAACATATAAGGTGAGATCTAAAAAAATTGATTTGGGTGGGATGTATCACCGACGTAAAGTGTAAATGATATTTGTTACAATTAATTCTCTCAATAAAAGAGATTAAACCGTCTGATTGTCCTTCCAATATGATAAGGACGTCGTCTATGTAGCGTCGCCACAGGACAAGTCCGCCCCCAGCCGCCCCACCTACAGAGATACTTGAGGTTTCCCAATGGGACACATAGAGGTTGGCAAACCTCGGGGCAAACTTTTTCCCCATGGCGACACCACATAGCTGAAGATAAAAACTAGAATCAAACCAAAAGTAATTTTTAGTTAGAACAAAATGGATATATTCAATCAAAAAATCTACCTGACATATATTTAATCGTCCCCTGGAAATAAGGATGT